TATACTTAGTTATTGCAAAGTTATAAGATTTTATACTTTTTTTAAAAATTTTAATTGATTGTTCGTTTTTGTTGGGGACTTCTCCACCTATGATTTCAAGTACTTTTTATTTATTCATTAATTTTTTTCTTGTTTACAACCATATATTTTGATTTTTAGGTTTTTCTTTTTATATTTTTCGAATTCATAGACAATATGTACACTTTAATTCTAAAATATCGTATTTTTAAGCAACTGACATTGCATTATTTTAGTAATTTCTTACAATTTCAAAGAGTTTTATGTAACATTGTAACAGTGAGCTTAATATTAATTTTCGAAAAATATTTTAACAATTCTCACTACAGGTCAAATGATATTGTTTTTCCCAAACTCTAATTAAAACGTTTTGAACATTTGAAACATTTGCGATTAAGAGTAAAAAATTTAGTGTTTTTTTCTTTTTATTTTATAGGCTTTTGTGGTTTATTGGTTTTTTGCAGCACTCTTGAAGAAAATTGTAAATAAAAATGACGGCTTTTTTGTATTGTTTTTTTCTGTAACAATCAAGAAAATAATGAGCTGTGAATTTTGCTATAAGATTATATTTATATAGAAAGTTGTTTCAAAGCAATTAATATTTTCAAATATAGAGTAATATGTTCGATTTTTCTTTCATTTTGTAAACTGTATTTTTTAATTCCATGTATTTATGATTTTTTTGATAAAAATGCTAACTTCTAAAAACGCATTTCAGCCTTTCTATGGGATACCTTTAGGACATGTTTCATTTTTTAAAGTTTGTGATTCAGCTACTGAAGATCACGAAGAGGATTTTACTATAGTTCCTGAAAAAATGCTTCTGTGTTTTAGTTTTTAATTTGGTCAAAATTGAAATATATAGAATTATAATTTAAATATTAAAAACAATTCATTGTTCTATGTAGGTAAATAATCTTTTTGAAATGAAACAAAATATTTTTAATAAATACAACTGTTCCGTTTCGAAATGAACAGTCTACAGATTAAATGAATAAAACCTATTATATGAATACATTAAGGAAAAAATCTTATTTTAAAAATTATGATAGCTGTGTATTTGTCATTACAATAAACAAACTTTTTTTGCATAAAATTAAAAAAATACATTTATTTCCTTAAGAAAAAAGATAATAAGGGAACTCAGTTAACGTTTTTTTATAGATTGTTCTTTCAAATAAATATTTTATGCGATTACAAGATTTTCGATTTTCTTAATCTGTTTTGAACATTTTATTTCTTTTATCAGTGGAAAGTCACAGCTCCATTATTTGTATCTTTAACTGAACTATTGGATTAGATTATTTGAAAAACTTACAAAGATAGTACTATACTGCTAAATGCATTTCTGTTTAGTTAGTTTCAATTTTGATAAGAGTTCTAAGAATTTCGACTTTGAGCTAACAAATATTATTTGAAAAATTAAAAGAGGAAGTTGATTCAAATCGCTCTTAGAAACATGCATAATATGAAATAAATTTAATGAAAATAATTAGAAATGAAGTATGAATGCTAAATTTGTTAGGTGTACTAATTAATGTTCAACTGTTTCAAATATGTTGAGTACACAGATTCATACCTGAAACAATATTTTTATTGTGATTAGTTAACTTTTAAGTCATTTTACAGTCTTCGTAAGCATGAATTTCTGCACGTCTGTAATGTTGATAAATTAGACAAAAAAAAATCAAAGTATTAAGAGAAAGTATTTCGAACATCCTAAAAATATTCCAGTACATCTAAAAATTAATAATATTAAATACAATTGAAATTATTATATTAATTACAATTGAATATTATTATAATATTGAATACAATTGAAATTATTATAATATTAAACACAATTGAATATTATTATAATATTAAATACAATTAATTATTACATTAAATACAATTGAATACTATTATAATATTAAATACAATTGAAAACTTCCGAACTGCTTCCAAGGTAAAAATATTATAAAATGATATAGAATTTTTATGATTTAAGATATGATTTCATATTTTCGCTTAAATACCACTTTTGATATTGTTGTGTTAATTAATGGAAAATTTAATTAATTAGGCTGTTTTTATAATAACAGATTATTTCAAATAATATAGTTAAGTAGAAACAAGTGAATTGCTTCATGCAGAAAAGTGGTGTGGATAAATTAGGCATTTTCTGCATAAAATAATTGAACTCTATGAAATTCAGAGAAATGTTTCATGTTCTTTAACCTCATATTTATAAACTAAATGGTTCACTATAATACAATGAGGTATAGTAATCAAATAGCTTTCAAACATATAGTTAACGTAAAAAAAAGAAGCTAATTATAGCCTTTAGAAGGACCCCGATAATGATTCTTAATAATAATAGTAATGATCTTTTTAAAGAAGAAAATGAAAATAACAGCTTTCTCCAATTATTGCACTGAAGGTCAGGTCACTCAATGCTGACTTAATATTTTGAAATGTTTCTTGCTTAGTTTCCTAATACAAAAGAAAATCAAATTACCGTTTAATTAACTGTTTAAGTTAGTTTAAAGACGCGCTTTTCAGAAAGATATTTTTACTTACTTTCAAAATTTTTGATAGATACAAATCCATTATAATTAATAGGTTCAAGAATTAGAAATCTAAGAATTTGATTTCATATATTTTATTTGTCTTATCACATATTTTATTTTATTTGTTCATATATTTATTTGTCTTCCATTTATTTTATTTGTCTTAACTTAAAACTTTTAGTGTAAGTGTATGCACTTGTTATCTTTTAGTAATGACTCGTTTTGAACTCAATGCTCAGGAAATAGTGCTTTTGGAATCTATGGCTGAAAACCTGTGTACAATATTTCAAGCAAAACAATATTTACGGCCTGTAAATATTGTTTTGGGTAAAGCTGTTTAGTTTCTTATAGGAAATAATTTAACTGAAAATAAATTTATCCTTTAAAAATCTTTTTCAGTCTTATTTTATTATTTTATCCTAGATTTTTCTCGTTTCTTTTGCCTTACTTTTAAGCTCTTTATTTAAGGAGTTTCTTTTCTGATATCAATATGATCATGTATAATCTATATATCTATATACATTTCTCTTAAGTGATACAGTAAATAGAGTTGTATTTTATAATCTCCGTTGGCCACACTAAATATATTTTTCATAAAGCCCACATCCTGTTTTTGTGGCTGATATTCTGTAATTGAAAGAAGCAAATAAAAGAAATAATACGTTTGTAATATTGCCTTATTTGGGATATCTGTGGCATATTTTATGTAAATTATATGCTGATGAATAAAATGACACAAATATCTATGCTAATAAAAGTAAGTGAAAAGTAATCAAATGAAGGTAAAATTTGCATATGCATGTTACTGTCATTTCTGATGACACTTGAGTTAGCTAGTCTCACTAGCCATTGACCTTGCAAATAGAGACAAGAAGAAACTCCTTTCGTTTGACAAGAGAGCACCACTAGGGTGAGAGAGTGATTTAGCTTAGAACCCCCCGGATAGTTGATTATACCACTCATTAGAGATGTGATTGAAGAAGAAGAAAAATTTCTCCAGATCGCTATAGTCATGGTTATGCTCAGCTTTCGATCACAGGACTTTTAATTTTACAGATTTTACGAGCACGTACATGACATGTACTGGGTCTTAGTGGAGTTAAGTATTGAACCTTGGCCTTTCTGGACCGAAGGCAGATGCTCTAACAACAGAGCTATCACAACCCCGGTATAGGTGTAAACATATATACATAAAATAAGTCAAGACGAAAAAAAGCACATAATATTAATTTATTTTGGAAGGTAATATAGAAAAAAAATCCATCAATGTTCAATAGTACAGAACTAAAGAGAACAGTTCGAAGAAAAAACATGAAAAATAACTAGTGATATTTTAACTTAGATTTATCTAGTTTACATTTACGAACATGATACGTTAAATTTTATCTATGAAAGGTTACTTTTTGGAGATCTCTGTTTTCTGATGTTATAATGTTTCTTCGCCAATAATATGCTATTTTCACAACTATTGTGAGTCTGAAATAGTTATTCATGACAATTAGGTTTAAGTTTTGTATGTACATATACAGCCAATTCTAATTATAAAAATGGTGCAATATGTCAATGCGAAGAAAAGTCACACCTTTGCAAAAAGTTTATTTTTATTAGAAAAGTTATTACCATTATTAGTTATTTTTTCCCCTTTTTTATTAGACATGTTATTACCATGCGGTAATATTACAATACGGTAATTTTATCACAATTTTTTTCTCCGTTTATAACATACTCTGACTGTGATTTTAGTTTTTGTTAAGAATTTTCCGAAAAACATCCTTAACATAAGGAGTAAAGTTACAAATAAATTGAACATAGTTTTTTTTACATAATTGCACATTTATAATTACATTTAAGTACGCATAATTTAAAATTAATTTTATTTTAATTATTATTTTTTCAAAATTTTTTTAATTTTTTTTTTATTTCTAACGTTTTGCACACTTTTAAAAATGTGTTCTTATTCCGATCGAATACTGTCTTGTCTGATCAGCTAGTAGAACAAATTTGATTATTAATCTTTCTGTCTTTGTTTAATAGTCTTTTAATTGATCAATCAACGGTTAATAGACTTCTGATTGATCAATCAATGGTTATTAGACTTTTGATTGATTAATAAATGATTATCAGCCAGATACTCGACAGATTTTATATATTTTTGTTAGGAACGAAGTTTAATGTCTCGGATTATTTAAATTTTTAAGCGAAAAAGTTAAATTTCTTTTTCATACACAGCACATTTTATTGTAAATTTATTGAAGAACGCGTGACATTTATAAATCAATAGATTAATGTCAATCGCTTCTCTTTAATATTTCTAACAACGCAGCACTGCAAAGAAAGTAATGAGATTTCAAGGACAAGCTTTCTGAATAATAAGAATATATTTGAATATTTTATTACATCTTCCTACGAGAATTAGGGAAAAGCGAAATCTAATCATGTGATTCAAAAACTCTTATCTTTAAAGCTGATAGAAGTATATAAGGGTTGTCGTCAGAAATACAGAGATCGATTACTAATAATAGGAGGTTTCTTATCACTTATTTAGACTCCTGAAGAAAACTGCATTCATCATGGTAAGAATATATATGTATCTTAAGATTTTACTTTGCAACTGACATAATTGTTGATAAATAATACTTATTTACATTTGCTTGATATGATACAGCTTTATTCATTGTAAAAGATTGGGAATTAAGTTTCTTAAGCTATAGATTAAGTCATAATTATTTTTAAATTTATTTGATTATATGTTTTAAAAATATATTTTAAGTATGATTCTGGATTTGTTTTGAATGGTTTATATTTTTGCGTTTAGAGTGTTTCAAAATATAGGCGAAAAATAAAAATTAATTGTATAAAAATAAAGATCTATGTTTAAAGAATATATAAAAAAATTATTGTACGATTTTAAAAATAAATAATTTAGAAAAATGGTCTTTTTTTCGAGCGTTTGAGTTTTTAAATTATAAAAATTACTAATGAAAAGTTCTACATTTTGTTCAAAATAATCTGAATTTAATTGCAATTTACAAAATCAACATTTAAATTAAATATCCGTTGTTGCGTTTTAAAATTAGATAATGTATTACAAAGTAAATAAATAATCATTCTGAATTAGAAAATGTAAATTTCAGACTTTTTCTCTTTTTTAAGAAAGGAATTATTCTGCAAATAATCAACTTTATAGAAAATTTTTTTTTAATAGTGAAAAATATTTTTAACTAATTGTTGAAAAACCATCATGGTTTGCTTTTCATGCGATTTCTTTTAAAAATACGATTATTTTTCTTATTTAAGTCTTTATATATGATAAAAAGCTTTTTCGGAATTTATTTAAAAGGAAAGAGCAAGTCAAATGTGAAATTTTAGATGAGCTGGTATTGCTGCATTTACTCATTAATTATGCATCTTTTTTCCCATTATTATAACAATGACAATTTGACTGAGAATTACTGACATTCTGTTCTTGTAAATTCTAATTAAATAATGCTCTAAGCTATCTTATTCGCGGTGTTATCTTTAAAATAAAAAATTAATTGTTCAATGGTATTCCCAAGAGAAATTTTTTACTCAACGGTTCAAACGGCTCGTAGTATAATGTTTTAATGTCAACACTCATTTCCCTTGTGTTTTAAATTTTGTGTTAGCCTAATTTTACTGAAATAGAGAATGATTTAAAAGCAAATGTATCGTCTCATATTTTTCTCAAGAAATTGTTTAATAATTCAAATATTTATTTGAATGAGGCAAGTGTTTACTAAAAACTAAGCTTAAACTAACTATAAAATACACTTATCAGTGATGTCAAAGGAAATAATCGGAATCTTCAGATTAGTAAAAATAGAATTATGAATATATCAAATGCAGTAGTAAAGCATTTTAATTTTTTTAAAAAAAAAGAAAGTACATATACTTTCTTGAATTGTTTGAATTAAATTCAGCTCTCTTTTACCTTTAAAGTACATGTGAAAAATTATAATGCATATGAAAATAAAGCAAAACAAAACTATAGCGCATTTTTAATGAGTAATACCCGGAGAAAAAAATTCTGGTAAAATTACTGTTCAGCATGGTAATGACATCTCTCTTAAGAAAAATATCATTCTGATAATAAAAAAAATTATACTGTATTTAAACCATTCATTTGAACATTTTTTCATTCATATGGTAACGGTTAACTGAAAATTCCGTCCTTCAAAACTATAGTTCTTACTACCACATATTTAGTAAAAAATACATAACTTAAAAGTAAATTTAACCAGATAAATGGTTTTATGCCATGCTTTAAGATATCATGAAGAAATTATCAAATTTTGCCACATTTATCAAATTTTATTGTACATTATAGAACCATATTTTATTGCTAAATTTACCAAAATCATTATCAAAGGGAATCAACCAAAATTATCGAGATTTTTGATTTTCCTATTTAGCCAGAAACACGGTTAATTTTACCGTATTCAGGTAGTTTTGACCATACTTTTTTCTGGGTGTACTTAGTTTAAAGAGAAATGTTAGCAAAATCGGAAGCTATCAAATATATAAATGTTTAATCAAGTAATTAAAGTTATGTACTATTAATTGCATTTTTCTAAAGTTTGATTGAGTTTATTATAGAAATCTTAAAATGAAAAGTAATATATTTTCTTAATATAATTTAATATATTCATGCAGTTCAAATACTCTTGTTTTTGAATAAAAGAAAGAAAAAAAGTCTGAATTAGTTTGAATCAAATGAAAGTGTTCTTTGCTATGATACAGACAATAATAGAAAACAATGTATTGAGAGTTTTTTGTTCGTAATGAAATAATTTATTAAACTAAAAATGACAATTGCAGTTTAAAAAGAACACAGCGATTTATTTTGTGCAAAATTAATTTTGAATAAAGCTTTTTAAATCCACATATGGGTTTTCAATGTATTATTATTTTCGTTTTACAGTTAATTTAATTAAAGGAGAGCGAACTACAGAAACCGCGTCATCTTACTTAATACAAGAGGCATATGTTTTCTTTCTGTGACAGTCAGAATTTTTTCTTATATTTTTAGATGCGAATTAGGTTTTAAATTCAGCTAATGAAAATGCTATTTTGTTTTGGGAAAAATACAGAATTTAAGAAAAAATATCCGTGTTCACTTTAAAGTTAGGAGGATATATATTAGAATTTATTAAAATCATTGCATGTAACATCTGAAAGATGCATGGTATTTAAAACCTATCACTTTTATATTTGTTTTTAAAATCGTTGTGGAAAATTGGGTAAAAAAGAACAATTGTGGTCAGAAACTATTATTTAAACAAGGAAAAAGCAAAAATGAAAAAAAAAACGTCTAACAAAATACTATTGAGGAAGGTGAGATTAAAAATAAAAGCAGTTTTATTGCAGGATAAAACTTAAGGTGTTTTTAGAAACTACTTTTTACTTTCTTTCAGCTTTCTTTGGCAATGCAATTAGTTTTGATCTTTGTTTCGCTAAAAAGGAACTTGTAACATGCTTGAAATGTGTTGATTATTTTATTTTATTTTTGAGGAAATTTCAAAAAATATATATTAAACGTGAAATACTCCGACTACTATGTCTAACCCTTATATGTAATAAGCTGATAAAAATTTTATTTTCTAATTTTACTGAAAATTCTTCATAGTCATCTATAAACGAATGATAATAAGTATATATTCTCGTGATATAAATAGATAACGAAAATTGTCTATGTGAACCAGGAATGATTCTATTTGTTTTCGATTATACTTAATTTTATGAATCATTTTATGAATCAGGTACTTTAATTTTGCGTATGTTATTGTCACTGAGCATGAGTCACTGACTGTTTCTACTTTAATGCTAGACAAGGGCCTGAAATTTCAGTACTTAAGTACTAGTCGGACTAAAATTTATTTTCGCCAATATTTAAACTAAAAATATAAACCATTCAAAAGGCTAACGGATATAATATACTGGTGGAAAAACCAGGGCTCGAAAAACCGCCCTTCCTCGGCAGTCAAAAATTTCCCGCGGACAACGAATTTCTCGAATCAGACGTCCACGCGGACGGCCATTTTCTCGTTAATGTTCGTGATACACTTTCAATTTTTGTTATCTTACAAGAGTCTAGCGCGTCACTTCTGAAATGACCCTCTAATCTAGAAATCCCGCACAGCAACATACTGCGCATGGTGGATTGATGTTTTTTCCGTCTGGGAGTACTGCAGCAGTTGAAAGGGACTTTTCAGCAATGAACTTACGAAGAAACACATTACGTAAGCGTTAAACGCAATTATGAACATCCACCTAAATGGAAAACCCCTTTCAAATTTCTGTGCAGAAACCTCTGTAAATCATAGGCTTGATTGTGGAACTGGCAAACGTCATATTTGATTCATTTAAAAAAACGCAGTACCCTCGGATAGATTGACATTCCAGATAATTTGACTTTTGTCATTTAAATTATTTCATAAAAGAAATAAATTATTTCATAAAAGAAATACTAGGTTTTACTATTATTTCTAGTTACCTAGTATTTCTTTTATTACTGTATAATGTAATCCCAGTAGCTACTAATTCATTGTGTAATTTATATAAATGTTTGTAATAAATAAGAAAAAATAATATTTGTATTTATTTAAAAGCGACGGGTTAGTTTCAAAGAAGGACGGGTACATTGTTGGACAAGCCGTCCTCGGGGACGGGTAAAATTTCTGAGTTTTTTCGAGCCCTGGGAAAAACCATAAAAGGATGTAGAAAATAAAAACTGAAACATATTTACGGCTTAAAATACGTTCATATCAATTTTTAAAAGAAGTTTCAATGTTATCCACATATCATGGAAAGTCATTAAAATGCAAAAATTATCAAAAAATTAAGACACCAGAAAAGTTCCCATCTTTTTCATTTTCACATTTGTATATCGCTGCCTTTCCACACTAAAATACCATTTTTCAAGTTCAGGCCTACCATCAAACTCAGCTGTGAGGGTCAATTTATAGAAATTCTGCATATATAACTAGATGTCGCAATAATTGTTTTAATGCTTCGTGACAGAAGAAGTCTCTCTCACAAAAAGATGTGATCTCTGCTATAGAATAACACGAAAATGCTATACTCTGTTAGAGTTTTCGTTCTAATAATGAAAAAATAACCGNAGATAACAAAAATTGTCTATGTGAACCAGGAATGATTCTATCTGTTTTCGATTATACTTAATTTTATGAATCATTTTATGAATCAGGTATTTTAATTTTGCGTATGTTATTGTCACTGAGAATGATTCACTAATTGTTTCCACTTTAATGCTAGACCAGGTCCTGAAATTTCAGTACTTAAGTACTAGCCGGACTAAAATTTCTCTTCGCCAATATTTAAACTGAAAATATAAACCATTCAGAAGGTTAACGGATATAATATGCTGGTGGAAAAACCATAAAAGGATGTCGAAAATAAAAACTGAAACATGTTTACAGCTTAAAATACGCTCATATCAGTTTTTAAAAAAAGTTTCAATGTTATCCACATATCATGGAATGTCATTAAAATACAAAAAATATCAAAAAATTAAGACACCAGAAAAGTTCTCTTATTTTTCGCTTCACATTTGTATATCGCTGCCTTTCCACACTAAAATACGATTTTTCAAGTTCAGACCTAGCATCAAACTACTGTGAGGGTCAATTTATAGAAATTCTGCATATATAACTAGATGTCGCAATAATTGTTTTAATGCTTCGTAACAGAAGAAGTCTCTCTCACAAAAAGATGTGATCTCTGCTATAGAATAACACGAAAATGCTATACTCTGTTAGAGTTTTCGTTCTAATAATGGAAAAATAACCGGCAGCAGTTTGTCCAGCCAATTAACCGTAAAGTTCACGCTAAAGAATATGTTTTTACCTTTGTGATTTTGAAATCGTTAACAACTAATATTATTAAAAAATCCATGAATACAACACTATACGTTTTTTTTACCATTTAATTTAAATGTTTTAATTTTCCTCTTTCTTTTCTTGTCCTTAAGTTCATTTTTTGGTAAATAAATACGTATTTATATGAATGATATGCACCATGAATAGAAGAATATATACGGACAAAACTTATTGCATATAATTACTACACCCAAAAATTAAGAATTCTGTTTTTTTTCTTTTCTTTCGAACATTACATAACAGAATAAAATTAAAAGGAGTATATGAAGGATTACAGAACTCTTGTTATGAAAATAAAACTAATATCAAATGTCAACGCTTAGGTAAATAAGTACTCGCTCAATAAACAGAAATAAGAGGAATGTAATTTTGCACAATATTTATTTATTAATATTTGGAAGAGAGGTTTTTTGTAGCTCTTTACGGCTCTCCTTCCCCACACACACTCTCGCTCTCTATGTTGCATGTTTTTCTAGATGGCGCTACAAAACCGTGCGGATTCATCAAAGATTATAGATTAGAAATTAATTCGAAAATATTATGAAGTTTTGCTTACTTTTAAAAGTTCCATCTTAATTCCATATACCAAATTGAAAGGAAAAAAAAACTCAACATATAAAATTTTAAATCACTGAGAAGAGCAAAATTAAAGAAACTGAAACTACAGTATTAAATAAAAATGTTTCCAAAGCACTAAAATATGAACTGAAAAGTGTTTATTGAAATTTAGAGAATCAACTAAGCATTTCTTTTTATGGTTGCTAGAGTTCAATCAGTGGAAAGAGACTTCGTTGAAAAAATATAAGGATGACGTCACAGCGGAACGTTCTTAAGTTTTAATGTTAATGGATATAGTAGAGGAAAGTAATTTGTTGTTTCAATTTGTACAAAACAACATTAAAAGTTGTTGGTTGAAAAATGTTGTTATTTTTCCACTTTTTTCAGCTCCTAAATACCTGGTATGTCTGAATTATCCACTTTATTTAAATGCGAAGCTGTAAATTTCATACAAATGTAGTTTGTTTAGAATTGTTATTTTTTAAAAATAAAATTTTACTATTTTTTAATAAATGATATTAAAAAAAATCTATTTTTATTTCAGAAAATAACTCATATTTTCGCTTTCGTTGTGTACTTTGCTGTGTTGCTTGCAACTGCTTTAGCCATTCCTGCACCGTGGAAACATGGAGGGGGAGGTGGTTGGAAACATGGTGGTGGTGGACATGGAGGCCATTATGGAGGTTATCGCGGAGGATACAGAGGAGGCCATGGTGGTCATCACGGAGGAGGAGGATATCGTGGAGGTTACGGGGGCCATAGAGGATAAATTATGAAACTGGACTTGAGTTTGGAAGAAGGCATTTTTATATCTGGAAAAACTTTCCGTTCTCTGTTAATAAAACGTTTTTATTTCTTAAATACTAGCATTCATTTTCATTAGTTAGAATTTTATGTTAAGATTTAAAATAATAAGTAAATTAAATCAAAACTTTCAAGTTTTTTAGTTTGTTAATTAAATTATTAAGCATTCAAAAGTGTGTGAAAACATATTTCTGATTTAAAGCATTTTTCAACAATTTTTTACATAAATACTAATAAAATTCATATTAAACGCACTCGACCTAAGATTGTACAAAATAAACATTATCAGCGCATGTAAAACAAGTTATTTAAACAAATAGCGTCTGTTAAGTAACATATTTGTTCGTTTTTTTTAAAAAAAATATATAAAATATTAGAAATTTTTTCTTAATAAAATTTGTGTTTGTTAAAACAAACATAAAACTTTTTTTTCACCAAATCAAGCGCCAAAATATTTCTTGCTTAAAAAAATCCATTTCACTATCATATTTAAATTAGTTTCTCAAGTTCAGATACATAGATGGGCTGAATCAGTTATTTTTGTGCATTCTAGAACATTGAAGAAATGATCCCATGATAAATTTGATTGCAATGATTTATTTTTAAAAAAAAACTGACACTAAGCCGAAATAAATTGAGTTATTGTTGCATGCAAAGAAAATAGGCTTTTTAGAATGTAAAATATTTTGTAATTAAATGCAAAATATTTACAATGTTATTAAGTAAACATTACACTTAAGGTGTACGTTTTTTAAAAATAATTTTCTCAAAGTAATTTTTACATGAAAAACTTTACTAAAATACTCATTGGGATAAAGTAACGATTGTATTGCTTGACTAAATTTATCCTCATAGAGAATTATAGTATAATGAATCGGAATTTTTCGATATGCATTTATCTATTTAATAAAAAGTAAAATAAATGTAACAGCTCACTATATAAAATTATGGGTTTTAAACAATAACGAATGGATAATTTAGGGGACTAATAAATTATAAAAAGTTACCGAAGTAAAATTTAAAAAAAATACTTTAAGACATTTATATATGAATAAACGCCTTAACAACTCCGAATAATAAAAATAATGCAAACCGGCCGTAATAAAGGTAAATAGGATATGGCTGTGTGAGCAACATAATGGTTCAAAGTATCGACTTTACATTTCAACGTTGAACTGATTTTTCTGAGAGAGTTTTAAAAAAAATTGCTTTGTTTTACATATATTTGTTAAATGAAACAAAACACTATTGTTTACAAAGAGGGTATTGCGGAGTTCCAAGAATACAGGGAAAATTCAATTGGTAATTGTTTTAACATTACGTTCATTTTTAATTTAATTAGTTTTATTTAATTAAAAATAGAAAAGTAATCGTTTATACTTATTTTCTTTATTGTACTCCATACGTATGAACTATATACAATACAGTATATTGAATTTCAGTTTCAAAGGAAACATGATTTAAATTATATGAAGCTACGATGGAAAAAATTTTTATTAAGGTTTTGATAAAATATCAAGGAAGAATTACAAAATTTCGAGTTTTCGAATTTGCACTAAATTTTTAATTTAAGAAATCTTGCCATTATATTTATTCTACTTTACTTTACATATTTTTCCCCACTTTAGCTATTGCGAGGAAAAAGAGTGTTGAAAATAAATGAGCTTAAAGAAAAATTAAAAGAAAATATTCTCCATTAATAATCGCAACAAATCACAACACTTTCTTCAACACTTGAAAGACACCCTGCCAATTATGTGCTATTAGAGTCACAGCATTAAATAAAAAGAAAAAAGTGTTTGAATTAATGTGTTATCTGCTTTAACCTCAACTTCCTTTTGAGCGTGACAAGTCTTAATGAAGAACACTGATTAAAAGTGGACGATTCACAGAAACGGGTTTTAATGCCGCGCGTGATTCGAAATTCAAAGCAGTGGAAACTGTTGAACTTGGTTTTAAGGTTTTGTATTTACGTAGCGTTGTCCATTGTGGATTATTTGTATAGCTTACGACACTAAAAATAGATCAATGTCTTGTTTTCTTATATTTATGTAATGATTACGTCCTCAAGAGAAAAAAAATGGCAATCAAAGGGACAGAATTCGAAAACGATGTCAGAATGTTGCAAGATTCAGTTTTAGTTGCCCTAGAACTTTAGGCAATTTGGGAAATCCAATCACGTGATTTAAAGACATTAAATCTTCTGAAGTGATAATAGTATATATAGAGATGATTTTGAGCATTCAGAAATAGATATAAATATTTCAAACAAAAGAAGTTTTTGTATCACTTATTCAAGAATCCACAACTTAACTTCATTCAACCATGGTACGTACAATTTAGTTTTCAATTTTGACGTAAATTTTTTTAAATCAAGTCATTGAAAAAAGAAACACTAAATTTTGTTTAATATAGATCTGATATCAATGCGTCTCTGATACTACTTATTTTCACTTTTTAAAATATATTTAATCAGCAGTAATTAAAAGTTTTGATTTTTAGTTAAAGTTTTAACGGTACCACCGTTGAAAGTTATGAAGTTGCAATGTATATTTAAAAAAATTGCGTGTTAGATGCAAAACATACAGATTTCCAAAACACTTATGGAAATGGATGGCTATATTCTATAACAAATTAAGTGACATAGGGAGCAATATATGTTTGAAAAACAATGTGAACTACTGATTCGTTTTTGTTTAAAATGTAAGTAATTCTTGACAATAAATTTAAATTAATGCTGCATTAAACTGCTTTGTGACAAATTCTTTAAAGACCGGCTATCTAATAAACTAAAATTTCATACAGTAGTTCCTCACTATATATTCACTCACTACACCTCAATAAAACACGATTTTGGATTTTTTGCTCATTTTTGCGCCTCTCTTGAATCTAAGTAATTTTAAAAAAAAAAGAAAACCAAGAGAATTTGTCAAATATATCACTTGCATTTATACTAAATTATAAAAAAATTAAGAATTCAAATATACCTTTCATACTAGATATAACATATAAATAATAGGCCTATGGAAGAATCGTGGCGACATTATAGCAGAATACCGAGTTCTTGTAGAAAGATTTTTCCTTTGGAAACTGAAAGATTTTACTTTTCTTTTCTGCAAAAATTTCCGAATCTTGTCTTTAATTCATAATTATATTCAAAAGATGTGCATCGGAGTGGAAAAAAATGCTTGTGATATTTCTATTCCCATTTGAGAATAATAAAAAATGAAGAATAATGAAGTAAAAAATTTGGTTTTCGTTTCGGTAAAAATTTTCGTTCTATTTTTTTCGTGCAGTTATTACATCAACTGATTTCGTTATAGCTTTTAAAATCCAATATTTTTAATATGAAATTATTTATTACACCAACTGAATCTCAAAATGAAAACACGTATTTAGTAATCCCTTTTTGAAGAGTCCGATTCGCGTGATTTTGCAGTCGATCTTTTTTTTCCGGCAGTTATTGCTACAGATTTAATGATTTTTGATTAATTTTCTTAATGGGATGATGAATTACAAAATGTTGAATTGCAAAAGGAAATAATTAGTGTGTTATCTTCCATGAAAATGAAAGAATATCGCCCAAAATATTAGATTGAAAAATATTGCATATTCAATTAAAATAATATTTTATTTGAACAGATATTTTTTAAACATTTATTTTGAAGTTAATGCTTCTGTTAACTAAAATTAGTAACATGCATATTTGTTATTTTTAAATATCTCGCAGAAGGATATTAGCATTTATGAATTATGTGGCAGAAAGCCCGAAGAAATTCTGCCACAGGCATAATAGGATGATTTAAAAATTCTTTTCTTTTTATGATGGGTAATGCGGAAAAGATGCTATTATGGATACCAAGTTCGTCTCTTGCCTGAGTTAATCTAACCATAAGACCTTTTCATCATTACCCATCAACTCATATAGTAAAAATAGTTTTTGAACTACTTTGCTGAACAATAGCTCATATTTTAGGGATAGAAATGGCGGTTGAGAGCCGTAGAAGACTTTTCATCATTCATCATGCAATTAAATTAATCATTATAGCTCAATTGTACACAATACACAAATTAATCATGATTGTACGATTAAGTAAAATTTTTGAAATAAGTTTCAATAAATATCACAATAATTTTACAATGCCCCAAAGTTTTTGAATTTTACAATATTTTCAATGATATTTTACGTATTTATTATTTAAAATAAACTTCATTATATTGATGCATCGTTGTTCATTATATTGGCATTGTTCTTACATTGAGCTTTTTTTGTTCCTAGACAAGCACGATACACCGAGGATTCTATGATATTTAAAAAATTGAAAAATTACTTTACTTAATTACTAATTATTATGAAGTAAAACAAAAAAAGTAATTTGAACAAAAAATTGTTGTTTAATGTAGTAAGTTAGAAATACATCTAGATAAATTGTAAAAAGAAGAGTTTTGGATAGGGTTGAGAAAAATGTAGGAATTTTTTTTTTTTCAAATGGACTTGCAAAGGATGTGTAATTTCATATTCTGAAACTACTCAAAAGGAGTTTATCTCTGAAAAAATAATTTTAAATTTAATTGTTCAAGCCATAGCTAAAGAAATATCACCAAGAAAAACAATTTAATTTTTTTTATTTTTTTAATTATCTCTTCACATTGTTCTTTGGAAAACTACCAAAATATAAAGTGAAAAGTGTTATTCTATTTTTGAATTGTTTTTATTTTGTTTTTGTATGTAATTATAAAACCAATAGATGGAACTGGTTGTTTAGCAAACTATAAATAGAAAAACGTGAAAAAACAATTAACAGGTATTATTGAATTGATGTTGAAGGTTTTTGAAAGAAGGAAGAAAAAATATCCATAAACTATTCAGCAATTTCAGTGCATTTATCGAAATGTTTTTTTACAAAACTAAAATCCAATGCTTTAAATTTTTTTAAATAAAATAATTGTTTTAATGAGCAATAGACTCATCACTAGATAAAACTAGAAAATTACTAGATAATAATTTCTTCGCATTAGCTTTAGTTCAGATTTTAAATGAGTGATCTTATTTTGGG